TCGAGCGGCGGGTATACGCGCCCCACTGCGCGGTCGAGGCACAGCAGGAAAGCGTCGCGCTCGCGCCGACTCCACGAGTCAGGGCTGCGCGGCAGCCGCAGGAGAATCGTTGCTGTTGCCACCGCCGCCGGACCAGACCCGCCGCCGCTGTTCGCTGCGGCAGCGAGGAGCTCGGCAACAGCCACCTCCGTCACGACGGCCCACACATCGTCGATGTCGCCCTCCAGCATGCGATCACCCCCACCCCCTTGACGCCTTGCCTGTCCCTGCCCAAAGAAGTATTGACAACGGCACGGAACAAGACCAATAAGCAAAGAAAGACAAAAGAAGAAAACGACACACTGTATGCATTTATTCAATGTATGGAACACGCAGAGGACATGTGTGTGTAGGTGGGTATGTATGTATGTATGCATGTACGTCTGAATGTGAGTCTCTAGATGGCGATGTCCATTAATGGGCATCTTACAATTACGTGGGTATAACCAACAAAGAAAAGTCATACAATCACGGTTGTGGTGGACCGCGGAAGATAAAGAATCAGAGAGTGTGAGGCGGAGCGCAACCCACGGCAGGTAACACACGTGCGGCGTGAAAACCACAACAGTGGCCGTTTGAGTGCGATATACCGCGAATCGAAGGAGGGAAGGAAAGGAAAGTAAAGGAAGGAAGGAAGGTTTGAGGAAGGAAGCGAGCAGCGCAACGGTATGCAGGCAACGATAACAACAGAAGAAACATAAGAGGAGAGACGTGCAACAAAGACGACGCGCATAAGCGCGACTGAGCGTGGGGCGCGTGTGTCGACCTGCCGCCCTCTCCAGACACCACGCTCACCCCCCTGCCTTGGTTATCTCCCCATTTCTGATATCTATGCTTCTTTTCGCTATTCCCCTCCTGCCATCCGCTCTTTCCCTCCAGTCTCGCTTCGCCCCTCTCTTTTCCTTTCTCTTCCTCTTTCCCGCTCTCATTTTTTTTTTCACCCAAGTTGAAACAAGAAATGGCTCCGTTCCCACCCAACGCCGGTACGAAGTAGGGAGAAAGCAAACGCAACAGAAGCATCAGCAACACCAGCGGTTGGTGGTGCCAACAGCCGAACAAACACGCATACATACAGAGACTGGATAAAGAGAAAGCAAGAGTGCTCAAAGCATTGGGTGGAAAAGAGACAAGGATGGGGACACGGCGGAGCCTTCAAAAGCGCCATGTGTTGCCTCTCCATGGACCCTTCCGCGTGTCTTCACCGGATTCACACGAATTCCGCGGAGAACGCATCCCTTGTTGCAAGGTAGCGTGCCAGACGAAGCCGGGCGTATTCAAAGAAGTCCACCTCTAACGTTGACACAGCCTCCTGGAGAAGAGCCCAGATACTCCAGCTGAGATGCGATGCCAGCGTGAGGAGCTTGACCAGTCTGACCCAATGCTCAATCGTTCGTTGCTCTTGTTCTTCATCATCTTCATATTGGCCAGACTCAGTCTGCGCCCCGCACATAAACAGGCGCTCCTGCCCTGGTATGATGTCGTCTAATTGCCTGCGGCTTGCTTCGTCTCGGTGCCCCTGCAGCTCCGCTCGCAGGGTTTGGCGGTACACCGCAATGAACCGCATCATGGCGTTGTCAGAGGGAAAATACCGATCGTAGTCGCACTCTAGTCCGGTGTACTCATTAAAGTGGTTTGCGATGTCAAAGAGGAGGTAGTTTCGTTTCACGTAGTCAAAGTCGATGATCCTGAGAAACCCACTCTTCGTGTGACGCATGATGTTCGCGCTAAGGAGGTCGTTGTGACACACGCTCTCGCTCAGCTCTGCCGCGTGGCGCAGCAGCAGCTCACACATCCACGCTGCCTCGCGCTTCAGCTGCCGCGCTGTGCCCAAATACTTCTCCCGCCTCTCCGCATTCATCTTGCGCAGAATACCGTCCGACAGCATCTGATCTACCCACTTTGTCAGCGCGTGTATCGTATAGTTCTCCTCGCAGTCGAAGCGGCAGACGCCGAACGCGGCGCCGCCGCCAAGTGTAGGACCCACCGAGTCCCAATACATCCGCTCCTCACTGCTGAGCACCGGCTTGTGGTGGTCGCTCCGCGCCTCCAGCGTGGCGCGCACCTGGAACGAGGCCAGCTCGTGCGCGATCTTCGCCTGCTCAACCGGCATCTCTGTGAAGGGCAGCGCCTCGTGGAGGTTCAGGAACTCGTAGACGAGGAAGTTTATGCCCCGCACGTATGTAGGGATGAAGATGGACTGATAGAAGAGTTCACTTTCGCGAGAGATGACACGCTCCGTCTCCTTTCCAAAGACTCGGACAACGACGGAGTGTGCTTTGTGAGCCGGGTGGTAGACGTGGAAGAGCTCGTTGGTGATGCCGCCCGAGAGCCGGTCCACGCACAGCTGGTCCGCGCCTACCGCTTCCCCGTTCGCGACATGCGCGCCAGGGCCGTTTCTGACGTGCGCGCGGACGCAGTTCTGCTGCGTCGTCGGCGACGGCTTGTTGGGCAGCAGTATGTGCAGGCAGTGGCGCAGCACGATGTCCACCAATGCCGCGCGGCGCCGGACAGGATCGTCCGGGATCACGCACTGCACAAACTCCACCGCTGTTTTCGTCATTCCACCAGATCAACGCTACGCCTGCTAAACACGTGGCACTCTTTCCTTCTGTTGGCGGGCACGCATAACAAGACAGCAGCCGTGGTGAACGGAGGGAAGAGGCACACCATATCGCAACAACAACCAAAAAAAAAAA